CAGGTCAGATTTTTGCCCAATATGCAGGGTGTTTTAGAGCTGACAAATGACAATTAGAAACCCCCCCTCCAGAAGATGCTGCAATAGCGTAATAATGGGCAGGGGACAGGCCAGCTCAGGCCTCCCCAGGCTTCCCACGGCTCATTCCCGCGCTCACTGCGGACACAGGGACTTTGGCTCCTCGCCTGCTGGCCCCTGCTGAGCTCAGCAGGGAGCTTAGCCAGGGCATCACAGAGCAAGTTGCCATTTTGCCCTACCTCCCTCCCTCCCTCCCAGCAGCTCCGTCTCCAGCAGATCTGGGCAGAAAGCAGGTGAGGGGCAATATGGCAGCAGTACTTTTCCCTGCGGCTCCTGCTGCAGCCTCATGGGAGGGCTGGCGCTCACCTTCCCTGCCAGATGGGGACTAGGTACATGCTGGGGCAGCTCAGGTTAGGCCTGCACTGACACAGATGGCTTATAACCCGCTGGCATGAACCCTCTGCTTCACACTGCCCTGCTTGGCAGTGACTCTTCCTCTCCTGTCTTACATGCTGGGATCACGGCCAGGGAGCCACCTCCCTCCTCCCGCCCTCCCTGGCTCCCCTCGCCATCGTGCCAGCTTCGATGAGGTGCAAGCAGGGAGTGCATGGAGTTGTAGGGGTGGGTTGGTTTCCCCCGGTCTTTTCTGCTGTTGGCCAAGCCGAGCTGTGGGCATCTGCCTTTCCCTGCCGATATCAGGCTGGCGAATTCCTACCACACAGTCTTTTTCTCACCTGTGCCTGTACCTCTGGCTTGGGCTTCTGTCTGTATTTCCCTTTCTCTGGCTTGTTTGGATCTAGGCCGTCAGAGGAATTTCAAAAACAAACAGCCAGGTGGACAAAAGCCTCAGGAAGGGGTGTGCTTCGAGTCCAAGCCCACATCCGTGAATCACGTCATATCGAGCGCCAGATTCGCCTGACAGCTCAGGTTAATTTGGGCTTCTGCATGCAAGTCTCTGCTTATGTGAGTAATCCTGAAGCAGTCGAGCAGTTACCCCCACCCCGATGCACGCATCCATGTGGGATGCGTGTAAGGAGCAGCAGGCAGGAGGGTTTTTTCTCTCACAGTCTCTGCCTTTTCATTCTTGCCTCAGCTGCAAGCGTGAATATGCCTCCAAAAGGAGAAGAAAGAGATCCCAGAATAAGAAGACTGAGACACGGTGACAAGCTTCTGTCACTTTACTAATAGCAATGTGCACAAGATTTTGTGTATTTAATCACTCAGGGGAAAAAAACAGTCCCTGGAGACCTCTGGTGCAGCCATAGGCGTTGTGGGTGGGCTCAGCAGCGGGCAAGGCAGGGCTGGCACCGACTCAGGTATGGTCGAGTTAGGTCTCCTGCTGCAAGCCAGTATCGCTGGGGAGAGACCGTGGGTTCTCTGTGCAAATTCTGGATAGCTTGTTCGTTGAAAAGGCAAATAACTGATGGGCAAGTGAAGTGGGAGGTGAAGGCACTGCTTACTTACAGCCTTAGCCTGGCCACAGTGGCTCTGACGCTGGCGGGGCTCCCCAGCACTGAGGCTGTGAACAAGGAGTGGCAGGTAGTGAGCTCTCCCTGCATGCTGGCCTCTGTCCCCATAGAGCACTGCTCTCTTCGAATTTCCTTGCCTGTTTCCCCAGGGATGAGGGGATGCTTGTGTTGAAGGACTCACCAGAAGAAGCTGGAGACAGAGGTGCAGAGAGAGCTGGGGCTGAGCTTGGCACACATCACGCTCTTTCAGGTCACACCTCTGGTGAGGTCTTTAAGGGCTCATTCAGCCACCTGCATGCTTTGCTGCCCTAACTTTGGAGCGGTAGGAAAGCCCCTGCGCATGTTTCCACCCTGTTTAGGTCCATGGTGAATCAGTCTCACTCAAGCTCCACAATAGCTCCTTTCTCTGCACTGTCAGAAACGCAAAAGACTTCAATTTTATTTCTCAAGAGTGTGCTGCTAGTAGGATTCATTCATTTAATTGGCATCTCCAGCAATATTGCAGAGTGCCTGAACCCACCTAATTACAGCCACAACACAGCCATCAGTTTGTGAGTTTCGAGCCTGTTCCACCGCGAGGACTCAGACCAGAGTCTTTCCGCTGTAGGGAAGAGAGAAGATGCCCGTTTGATGGGCTTGGGACTTGAAATACCCCAGAGAGAAGGAAGGGTTTTACACTGGGGCCGTGATGCTCTGCTCAGATGTGATGCTCTGCTCCGATAGCCGCATGCCTGCTGGTCAGGGGCTGCAGGAGGAGGGTGAGTACGTGGTGTGACGGCCCTGCAGGCTCAGAGCCGGCCCCCCGCCTTTGCCTTGCAGACAGCCCACCCTGACCCCGCGGTGATACGGCAATCACCGCTGCATCCAACGGACGCTCACTAGAATAATAACTTTTTCTTAATTCCAACCCTCTCCCATGACTATGGCCAGGAAATGAAGAACAGTTTCTTAGCAGGACTCCAGTGGATATCTTCTCCGTTGGATAAAAGCCACTGCTTATATTTTCCTCCCAAAGGATCGTATTTTTCAGTCCCACCTTTTGCAGTCTTTGTTCCGCTGAAGCATGCAGCACTCTTTTCCAGCTGCCTGGGAGACTGCTGAAAAGAGGTGCATTACCTCCCACAGCTGTGAAAATTGGGGTGATCCCTTTTTTGGCATGTGTTTGGAGGAGTTGCTTTGGGAAGCAGAATCATGCAGGCAGAGTTGTTTAAGAAGTGAAGACTAGAACGGAGCTGATTTCTTTCTTTTAATGAAAAGGAACAATTTCCCACTCTGTTTATTCTTCCTACTCTCAGCAAAATGTCAGGAATGCTTAAGATTAATGACAACTCATGTGAAAGAGAAACAGATACCAAGCAACATTAGTTCCATCACACTCAGTTCAACTTTCCTCCTCTTTCCATAGCAGACTATGTCTTATGCTTTGGCAACCTACTACCAGAATTTGTCTTGCCATTTTCAGCTTAGATCTTTGGAAATCCTTGCTTTATGAAATGCAGGGAGGGAAGAGAGACCTTGCTGACACAGTGAGCTCCGCTCTGCACAAAGCAGAGCCATATGCTGTCAGCTGGGTTGAAAAATGAGGGCCCTGGGAGTGTGCGAAAAGTCATACATGGTCTTATAAAAAGATATGGTTAGCTTCATGTTAGGAAAAAAAAAAGACAGATTTTTCTGGAAAGCCCTTCGATCAGCTTCCCAGCTGGTATAACACAGTGGCTTCCCCCGACAGAGCTCCATTGGCTCCATTTGCGGTTCTTCCTCCATCTTGGGGCAAATGACTATTGATTACCCATGCCAGCTGGTACACAGAGACACATGCTCCAGTTAAGACCCCTCTTTTTCTGATCTGATAGCGCAAATAGCAAACTCCTGGACCAGAAGAGTGATGCTGCTCCAGCAGAGTTTGTTACAACAAGGAAATAGTTTAGGAGACAGCTTCTTTTCCCTGAGCAGTCACATGCATCCCCCGGCTTTGACTACCTCCTTCTGGCAACAGCGGCAATCACTGACATGGGACCTGTTTATGGGTTTTAACATATCTTACTGTGATAAAGTTCTTCCCTGTTTCCTAGCTTCTGTGTTCTTCTTATTCTCTGTTGCCTCTCCGTCCCCCTCATCCTCCTACACTGCCTTGCTGTGCCCTTTTCCTACAGATGTTTCTGCTGCACTGGACATGGGTACCTCAGAGAACGGCTTCAGTTCCCTGCACCTCCCTATCTAAAAAAAGACAGTGCTGTGAGACACCATGTTTTCTTGTGAAACAGAGAAGCCTAAGCAAGAAGAAGAGGTGGGACCTGCAACTAGCATTAGCAAGAAGACAATGTGGGACCAGCAAAACTGCCTTGCCTCTATCCCAAGAGCCTCACCCATTACTGCAAACTACTTTTTCCAGCACCAGACTTTCTGGCTCCCTCTTGTTCTTTCTGTGCACTCTAGGTTTCCAAGATAATCTTAACCTTTTGCCCCTTGTCTCTCCTATCTTCCTATTTTACTGCTCCAAACTGTGTCCCCAGCTGACATCTCCAGAAAAGCTGTGGTTGCCCCAACCCTGGAAGTGTTCAAGGCCAGATTGGATGGGGCTTTGAGCAATCTGATCTAGTGGAAGCTGTCCCTGCCCATGGCAGGGGAGTTGGAACTAGATGATGTTTAAGGGCCCTTCCAACCCAGACCATTCTATGATTCTATGATTCTATGATTCTATGATTCTATGATTCTGTCTTCCTGCAGCCCCTGCCTTGATGGCCAGCATCTCTCTATAGCTCCACAGTGCACAGACTAGGGCTCTTGCCCAGGCTGCCTCGGAGTGAGCGGCAGGAGATACTGCAGTTGCACAGATGAGAGAGACTGTGAGCCAGATGTTTTACAGGAATTGCCCCAAGCAAATGCTCTGCTCCAGTGTCTGAGAGCTACTGGCCTGAGTAGTAGGCCACTGCAGGCAAAGGGAACAGGTACAAACGCCACGTCAGTCCTGCCTGGGGAGTACAACAGTGCTGTGTGCTGAGGAATGTGTTCCAGATGTGTTCTTTCATCCAGGCCTTCTTTAATCTTGTCAGGTGTATTTAAATATTTATTACACTTAGAGCTACCATGCCCCCAACAGAAATTATGCTTTCTCCTCAGTCATTTGGAAATAACATGGGGTTCAAATGTTGTGCTCAGCTTTCCTAAGCTTTGCTGAGAGGTGAACAAGTTTAACAAAACACTGCAGGACAGGCTTTTAAACACTGTCTGCGTTACCTGAAAAAAACACTGCTCCATGTGAGACTTTCCCGAGGACATTAGTGGTGCTGAGTCAGACCAAAGCTAAGCACTGTGAAAGTCCCCTGGACCCCAGCCATTCCACCTCATCCTCAAATACTTTGAAATCTGGGGACATTTTTTTTAGCTTTGCTCCAGAACACTGTGATCAAACACTTCTTATTGTGCTGTAGCTACAACCATGACACTGTCATCTTTCTTTCTTGCATCACAGCCACGTAATTTCCATGTGCAAATGTTCACAAATCCAGCTTTAGTAAATTCAGTTCAAAAGGTTCATTTTACCTGAGAGCTGCCCAGTGGCAACAGGTATCACTTTGTATGGAGACCTGGAAAAGCCAGAGAGGGCTGATGTTAGCAACACTCAGAAAGCAGTTTGTATTTCACATCTGTACTCCCTGAGAAGTAGGAAGAAGCATCTGAATATATTCTAAGCTCTCTTAAAACCTGTCAGTTTAAATATGCAGAAGGTGCTTTTTATGAATGCATGACCCTCCGATTTACTACTGAACCAGAGACAAAGAGATCTTTCTTGTGCTGTATGATCACACAACGGACATGGTAAAAACGTCTCCTCTTTGGCAAGACTTGACAGCTTGTGGCCTGAGTCGGTGAGGAAATTTTGTAGGTCAGAAGGGATGTCCAGCGGTGGGGATCATCCTATTGCTCAGTGTTCCCGCATTGTCCTGTGCAGTAGATCCCTCACAACTGTTGGGGCCCCACCACATGGTGTCAGTGAGAGTAATGCCAGTGAGAGTAATGATGAGAGAGTAATGAGAGTAATGATGAAATATGCAATGAAGCAACTAACAGCAGAAGGAGCAACTGCAAGCAGTCAGAGTGAAGCGAAAAGTGCCAGGATGAACAAGCAACAGGAAGCCAAGGAGAAAAAGAGAAAGGGATTTGGAGGTGGGAAGGGCCAAAGCCAGCATGGAAGAGACCTAACCTCATCAAAGACTTTGACTTTGCTTTGCAAATAATGTCGTGGTTGTGTCCTAGCAGAGCAATAAAGGAGTGGTGAAACAAAGAAGCTGGGAACTTTGACAGCAAACAGGGTGGAATGGGAACAGATGTTCTACGTTAAATACTTAAAAGCAGTATTTTTTCCTCAGACAATTTCTCCTACTTTGATAACAAATAAAAAATCTTCAAAACCAGCAGGCATTAGTGTTATAAGCCAGCATGCAATTCTTACTGTCATCTCCCTCCCTCCAGGGAGTTGCTCACCTCCCGCTACACACAACAGGCATCTGCAGGCAACCACCACGCCTTCCCTTGGGCTTGACCCTATTTTTGAAGAGCCGGTTGCAGCAAGGCTTACCTCTCTGAGTTTGCAGGCATGGTTGGATCAATGGATACCATACAATTGTCTGCAGTCAAAAGGGAGATCGTTGTGTTCCTGAAAAGCATGTTTCAAAGAGGTTTATCTGACCTGGAAACGCTGGCTGAAATTCTGGGCTGCTGCATAGAGTGCATAGCCATCTTCTCTCCTGCAGCACTCCTGGCCTGGCCTGGCACTGTCTCAGACCCATTCTACCTTGGTGCAGGAAGGGTCAAAGCACAGGACAGGGTAGACTTGATGCTTCACCCTTTTCAATTACAAGAGATGTTTCTGGTGAAATGTTAGGTGTGATCATCTTCGACCTCAGAGCAGACTTTGCTCCCTGCTAGCTCATGTATTCTATTGACTCATCAACTAATAATTTCTATTAAAAAGCTATGTTTTGTGATACATTGACTCGGTAGCTATGTATTGACTCATACTATACAAATGACTACCAGTGCTATGAATGTCTTGAAATTATTTAGTTACTTTTTTACCAAAAAAACCCGAACTAAACAAATGTCTTGCTGAATATGGGGCCTTTTTTTTTTTTTTATACTATGCTAGGTGTGGTCTCATAGGCTCAGATGCAAACCTTGGAGGTTTACTTTGGCTCCAGGAGCCTGGTGGAAATGCACAGTTCTTTGGAAGTCTTTTAATGAAAATAAAATACTAAATAAGCGATGAACACCCTGATCATGAATCACTAAAACTGCTAAACAAAGTTTCCTGGGTCATGGAATGGAAGTATTTGACATCATAGGCAAATGAGAGTTATTAACCTTTCTAACGTCAAATGGGAGGAAATAGCCAGCATAAACAGCAAAGGGCGTTAATTCTGTCCAGCAGCTTATGCAAATTCTGAGTCAATATAGACAATTTTATCTTTCAATCCTCAGAGCTGGAATCATACAATAAACCCATGATTAAAGGAATGGCTTCTTTTTTTCTGTGATTCTTCTGTATTGTCAACCTGTATATACAAAAGCAAAGACTGGTTTATTGCATGCTGTTGTGCATCTGGCCCACGCTGCGCAAGGTCCATATGCAGACAGCATATGTCCCCTTCTAGATGTGACTAAGGGACTTCCCTCCCTCTGCACCACTGCCCTGGACAGGCGGTGCTAAAGTGGCTGGATGCTACACCACACCACCCTCCACCACGGGCCGGCTTCTGCCACCCCAACACACCTGCTCCTGGATCCCTCTCAACACAGAGATTTAAGTTAGATGCTGTAGGTTGAAGGTAAGAGAAACAGGAAATTACAGCAGAAGAGATGCGTGGACTTTGGAGGACGACATAAATTAGGAAATTCTTGGTCTGGGCAATGGATTTGGGGATATTAATGTTCTATAAAATTGTTTTGCTGGAGTACTTTTCGTTTGACTATCTCATACCTGGGATTACATTTTACTGCATCTGAATACAAAGCTTATCACCTAGTGGCAATGCATCTCATTGGCCTCAAATTTTTCCCTAAAAACCAGATTCTAAACGTATGGTTGCATTTTACTCAATACGGGCAAAAAATGTAGTGCTGAGTTATAACTGGTAGGTGCACGCAACCCATGTGCACTCAAGGCTGGGCTTCTGTACTTGCTTTCATTTTTTTAGACTATATCTCTTCTCTTCTACTCTATTCCACTCTGTTCCTCAGGCGCAGCTGGCACTGAGGTGGCTCAATGCCTGCCAGAGCTTCGTGCACTTTTCCAGCTGGTGCTCTCTGGCTTGCCCTGGTTTCTTCTTCTAGCAGACTGGAATGACAGAGGAGCCTGAATAGCAGGTAAATGAATCAGTTAGGGCCTGTCTTTACACGGTCCCCAGAAGTAAAGGAACAAAAGTGAACTGAATGTCACGAATGAAAAGCGAGACCTACCTTGGTAACCCTGTTGCAATGCAGAAGAGGTCCATGATATCTTTGGAGTTGCAATATTTACTAAAGATCACCTTCCAAACCAAACAGCAGCAAGGGAAAAAAAAAGGAAGAGAAAGAAGAAAAAGGACAGTTAGTTCCCAGTGAGATATGAACTCTATTCAGGCGTGAAGTGGGCTAATTTTAAGGCTCATCCTACCACTTCAATTGTCTGATTTGACTTGTGAGCTGGAATAGTTATCTACTCCTGTTTAATACCTGTGCTTTTTTCGATAAAGCAAGCAAGCTCTGGAGACCTAATTGCACTGTTCAGAAATAGAGCAATAACGTATGTGAACAGAGAGCAAAAGGTATCTCACAATGCAGTATTGCTGCAGGATTATAACTGCAAATTTAGGGATGCAAGATTTAGGCAGAAAACAGCCCAGATTTGAGGAGGTCTTTGAATGGTATAAAAGAACACTGCTTTTTGAACTGTACCAGCTTAAGCTAGCTTTAAACAGAGCAGAGGGTTTTTTCCTTCAGGTTGTGCCAAATTTCCTGCCAACTATCAGGCTGTATTGTTCCTGCTGTTAGGTCAAAGCTCGGACCTTGAATTACAAAATTTGCCACTTTTACCTTCCCATGCCTCCAAACACCTCTTCATCATCCTGCCCTTCCACATATGCCCGGCAGCCCCTATGCAGAGAAGACTATTTGAGTGGTGGGTCCGAGAACACAACATCCCCTTGACCCTGGTGTGATACAGCCTTCAAGGACACGATCCCATGCCACGATTTTCCCCAAGACTCCTGTGTCCATCAGGACATGTAGGTGATGGTGTTCCCTGGTTGAGAAGCTCTTCTGCAGCCATGGTTGGGGGCAGAAAGCCTCCCTGTGTGCCTTTGATTAACTATGGCGAAGGCTTTGAACCTGCTGTGGAAATAAAATGCCTCATTGCAGTCAGGTCCGGCTCAACTTCTCAAAGCCAGGAGTAACGTTGAGTGGTGGGGCTGATTTGTCTGGAGGCCGCTGGTGTTAACAGGGCAGCTGCAGGCTGTGGGGGCCAGTGGTGGTGTGGAGCAGGGCAGCTTCCCTGGCCAGCACTGGAGCTCAGCTCCCTTGCACCGCTGAAGAAGAAATAGCCACAGAGCCTCTGGGTTTGGGATGCAGAAGCTCTAAGGGTCTTCTGGAGACCTAATGGCAAAACTCTGGAGGAGCAAGAAAGTGCTATTTCGCAGATGAGGTCTGACGCACTGGGACATCAAGGTCAAAAGTCTCCTGTCCTTGTGAGTGCCTTGCTGGAAATGCTGTTTTCCACCCCCTATGACCACCCACAGCATCCTGTATTCTCAGGAACAATTTCTGTTGCCGTCCATTACAGGCACAGGGGATGTGCACATCCGCAGATCAGCCTTGAGGCTGGTGGCCTAGAAAGTGAGGAACACGTCAGGCAGGATGGCCTTTCAATGGTTTGTTCTCGCTGTCTTGCCTCGTGCTGCCAGGAAGAGGCAGGGGTTGAAGGCAGCGGAGGCTGTGGACAGTGAGGGGCTGCTGACAGCCGCTCTCCCTGGCTCTAGTTAGTCGGGAAGGCCCCACGTGTTCTGCAAGGTGAGGACCATGCTGGAAAAATAGCATGTCATCATCTAATTAAAGACTCTTCTGAAAGGCGTAGGTGCCAGGAGTTAATTAAGCCTTCAGCCTTACTCCAGCAGTCTCGGCCTTTGAGTGCTTTAATTCCTAAATGGTAATAGCATTGCAGTGACACGGTTCCCATGGGCCTTTTCTAAGGTGCCTTTCGGACACCAGGGGAAATGTCTCACACAGAGATGTTGTGCGATGCCGACCCAGATCTCTGCTGCTGGCAACGGGAGCCCTGTGAGAGCCTGTGGGACGCTCTGCCAGTGAGGAGCTGCTAATGCCTGCTCAGGACATCTCAAGCCTGAAGTATTGGGAGAGTCAGGACAAAATGGCAAGATCCAGCCAGCCTGGTTGAGTCCTGTTGTGCCTGGGGTGCAACGCACCAACACTCGTGCTGATGCCGAAGCAAAGCTTCAGACCTCAGTTTTCACTGATGGTGGTGAGGAACCTTCTTACTCTTGAGGGTGCATCAGGAGTTTTGTGGTAGAGAAGAGAGCAATACTGGTCACCTCAAGAGGCGGCTGTAACTGATACGTGCATGCACACCCATCTTCCACCTTTTCTGACCAGCTGAGAATACATCAGGCAATATCTTTACTTTCTAAAACATCAAGGCACTTGATTGCTGAGGTAGTTAGTAACTGCTATGGGGAAAATGGGTGGGATTAATGTCCGGATGTGTTGTAAAAGCTTGCTTTGCCCAATGATTGACCCTTGGTTATAAAATACAGCAGCAATCAAAGCAGTAAAACATAGCCATAGCCATTCGAGTTCAGATAGGGCTGAAATCCCGCTCCTAGCAGAACACAGCATCCTGCTGGAGTGATAGCTGCTAAAATTGGCTGACAGAGTATTGGAGGGTACAACAACTGGTACACGCAGTAACTGAGGAGTTGATGTTAATTGCGGCTGAACAGAGGGTAAAGGCTTGTGATGTGCCGGGAGTGCTATTTCAGGTATTGAGGTTTCTTATTCTGGAAATCAATTATTATTGACTGGGATAGATAAGAGAAGAAAAGATAAAAAAATAAATTAAAAAACATTAAAGGTGAGACAGCCGGCCTGACTCATAGAAAGCAGCAGGAGCTTTCAATGCATTGAGGATGAATTTTAATGTTTCCTTTACTCCATGTAATAGTGAAAGAGTGGGAAGAAAAACAAAGACTGTACATACTGGTTTCTAGATTATGAGCTATCTCCATATATACTTTTCAGCTTTCCATACTTGGCATTTTTACTGAAGTTTGCTAAAAGTGGATTTGTGAATCACTCACCACACTTTGATACTCATCTCAGGATGGTTGTCCTCAGCTGGTTGTTTTTTTTAAATCAAATAGCGTATGCTACTAAAGTTTTCTTCTATTGCAACCTGCTGAGCTTTTCTGACCAGCTTCCTTCTGTTCTAAAACAAAGTGGTCAGCCTCAGACATTTCCCAGCAATAAGCAATTGTTCCTGTTATTGCCTGCAGGTTTATGTTCCCAATAATGTCCGTGCCAGTTGTGCTGATGGACTACAATTGGAATGTATTTCGGAGTACTGCGCACTGTTGATGGCTCCAGCGTAATATAGGAATCCTATTTGTCTAAAGTCCATTATCATTGCAAGGACATTAGCGACATGAAGGCAATACAGTGACATTTGGCTTGCAGCCATACTTCAGCCAGATGGAACACATGGTTTCTCCCATGACCAGGGAAGATGGCTGACCTGCAGCTTTGAGGATAGAAGCCCTGTTGGCATAGGGTGGAGAAATGAACATCTTATCCAGTCCTGTGAAGGTGTCTTTACTTGGGCAGATGTCCTGAAGCCATTGCTCTGAGACCCAGGTCTCCATGATGATACTTTCCTGGCTCTGTTTGTAGATCTGATCCAGACTATCAGTCAGCAGGGAGGGACTTCATCTCCCTTCAAACCTGTCTCAGCTGTCTTTGACCCGCAGTCATCATCTTGCATAGGTCTGTGTTCCTATCCCTGAGTGGCAAGCCACGTGTCTCACAGCACCTCACTCTCTGCATTAATGCCCAGTGATGGAAGAAATCACTGCTTAGGACAGGACTGAGACCTTGCTATGGAGTGTAACAGAGGCCAAAGTCAGGAGACCACAGCAGTTTCTACAGCTGTGGTAGTGGGCTACGATCATGCATCTATAGGGCACAGACAGGTTTCCCCATTAAGGGCTTCAATAAAGTCCATAGTCACACAGGTCAGCCAAAAAAAGCCAGGGATGCAGCTCCTGATGCACCTTCTATAGGAAAGAGAGGACACAGAAACTCCAATATTACCTGGTGGTATGAGAGTCTCCTGCAAGACCAGACAACACCAGACACTCATTTTCCAGTGTCATTTCTGAAAGCAAAGGCAGAGCCCAAATCATGTAAGCAGAGTCACGGAGGTGATGCACTGCATGGGAAAGGGAAATCGAGGCCTCTGCATCAGCCTGCGGACTGATGACTAAATACCACAAAGAAAATCAGCCACATACAAACCCTGTTAATTGCATCTCCCTTAGATTCGTGCCAGGAAAAAAAAGAACGTATTCCTCAAAAGCTATGCAGCATCTGCAAACAATTCATTTGCCCCATTTGAGAGTTAACATTTATTTCATATTTCTGTCCTTGTTACTGTTAGTAAAACTTCTACCATGTGTAGAAAAAAAAATGACAGGAAAACTAGAGTTATCTGAATGCTCGGCTTGATCATTTCAATAATTCTCCATCAAGACCAAGAAGTAGTCATTTGATTTAAGTGGGGAACGCTGTCTGCCTGCCTTGGAAACTAATGTAAAGCAAAGGGGGAAAAAGCAGAATGAATAATAACTGAGGCTTTTTGGAGTGGAAATAATATTCTGATGAAGCATGCAGTGGCTGTGAAGTAGGACAGCGTGACTCAATGGGGATGCCTGATTCCTGGCCCAGAGCTCACTTCTATGGGACTGGTTTCTTTCCTGGAGACAGTCCTGCATTTTTTGAAACATCTTCCTCTGAAATAAGGTGCCATTGTTTCTGAATCCATAATATCCACCTCTGGTAGAGGGCAAGGATTTTAAAAGCCCTCTCAGAAAGAGCAGGGATTAAGAGCTCTGCTACTCTGGATGGCTTTCCCACTCAGAGGAGCAGTTCAATATTGTGATTGTGATGAAGATATTACTAAGGGACTGCAGTGCATATACTCTGCAACCTACCAGCTTACAATTAATCACGTTATGTTTTGCTTTCAGATAGGATGGGTAAAAACACAGCCTACAAATCCAATTTCTGTTCTATATTTGATCCTCAGAACAGCTAATCCTCTCTGTAAACTGTAAGCCCTGTCCAGAATGTTATCCTGTTCTGATCTGTTATTGGTAATTGGGTTTTCTTCCAAGAATTTAACTCATGTTTGGTTTTTTTACCCTAGTAAAATTCCTAAATAAATAATGCAGACATATTTTTAAAGCCAGTCTATTCTCAGTTT